ATCAAGTTTTGAATTAAGAATAGTCACAATTAAAGTATTCCAACTATCTTGTAATGAACCCAAAAGAAACAACACCTTCATTTCATCATCCATCTTAAGCTTCATAGTAGTTATCTGATTATATATCTTAAAAATCACTCAAGTGCCTTGTAATCAATCATCCATCCTTGTATTGTAAAGTTACAAGCTTTTTAACATGCATACTTTATTCATGTTTATTTTTCTCTTATACAATGATGCTAATTTTTTTCAAATAGTATGGGCATCTGTCTCCTGCGCTACATAATGAAACATGCTGATATCAACTCATTTTCTTATTATAGCCAGCGTCTTTCTACATAGTTTCTTTTAATTTTTATCTTTTATATCTATTGGCTTTACCGAATCACCTAATACTAGCTCATACAAATCTTTGCAATATAAATCATCCTTTATCATAGGCTTTCAAATTAAATAATTTGATAATGTCAATTTTATCTTAGAACTTTATCACTCTTCATGATCTCAAATAGAATTTACTTTTATCTTGGGTTGCTTCTATATCAATGTCTCAAAAATAACCCTTACTTTGATATCACTGTTGGGCTTGAAGCAACAAATACAACAACACAGAAGCAATATATCACAATAAACTCACAGCAATAGACAACAATCAACAATCAACAATGTAAAAAAAATAAAGCATACTAAAATTTATGTGAAAAACCTTCTAATGTTGAGAGAAAAACTATGGACCATTAGAAAAATCTTCACTATCAAATAATAGATATATAAAGTTTTCCTCTAGCTAATACTAGTCAACAACTAGTGAGACGATTAAAGAAATCTCTAGCTAATACTAGTCAACAACTAGTGAGACGATTAAAGAAATCTCACTAAATAAGTGACTCAACAAATACACATTGGATTTGTTCCTAAAGAGCTTCAAACTCGATCTTCATCGTTCAAAATGTAAAACTCTAAATCATAAACCTGTCGATAAAATTTTAGTTCAATTGGACCATGAATCGACTTTTGTTCAACCAACTCACCCTTATTTATTTTTTCTTTATGTTTTTTGGTATTTCTTTTTCCTTTTTCAATGCTACCACACTTTCATTCATGCCTAAAAACACAGCCCCCTATTTTATTATTTACGACTTAGTAGAAAAAGGACTAAGGCCTATGGCCTTTAATTGGTCCAAAGGAACTGGGCTGGACCCCACATTCCTAATACTATTTCCAAGCTAGTAAAACTTAAGAAATCAAAAGAAAAGTGCATGTGCTTTACTAGTTGAGATAGTCATTGGGGTTAATTTTAGTAATGGAACATGAATGAATGTGCTAAATAAAGTTTGATATTTGTACTATTTTTTTATTTTATGAAAATTACAATAAAACAATGATAGTAAAGCCATCATTATTTAAAAATGCATAAATAACTAATTATATACTATTGATTTAAAAAATATTTTTAAATATTAATTTTTAAATTAAATAAATTTATATTATTTTTAGAAAAACTATATCTCAAACAAAGTTTTAAAAATGTCGAGCCAACTTAGCCGACCATGGACGCCTTTATTATTGTTTATGAATAGATTCCCAGATTAAAAATTTAGTACCATAATATATTTATAAACAAAAGTGCTTGCTCGAATTTAACAAAACATTAGGTGCTTGTTTTCAATTTATAGCATAATAATGTTATTAAACCAATTGTTGCAACCATTTATTGTTTCTCTTTGCTTATGTTTTTATTGCATAATATAGACATGCATTATATTTACATAAAAAATTAAGACAAATTAGGTGTAGGTTCTATAGGAAAACATTTTTTTATTCTCAAAATTTTCTCATTTTTCTAATATTAATTTGTGACAATAATAATAATGTTTTCTTTTTTTGGTCAGTTTTTGGTTTGAGATTAGGGTTAGTTTTTTATTTATAGCAACAAAACTTCACTAGAGCAAAAATATTACCTAGTAAGCCTTATAACTTGTATGTGGATATTTGTAAATATTGTTTAAGCATGCTTTACATATGGACTTAATAGCATATAATCTATTGCTAAAATAATGAATTGAGTTCTATTAATGTGTAATTAGAATTGAGATGCTTTGAATATGTTTTGAGCCTTTAAATTTTTTATGTATTATGCACATTAGATATATATATATTTTAGAAATTATCCAAGAAGTTTAAAAAATCTGGATTTTAAGTTTACAAGTTAAAGAAAAATTAGCATTTATTTTTAGGGTTTAAATATACACGTAATTTTATATATGTTAGTTACATATAATTATAATATCAATAGTCTAATTAAGTATGTTAGAGTTCATTTTCATATAATTAATTATATAACTTTAGTCTGATAATGTAGCAAGTATTAAATGATAAGAGTTGGACATAAAAGTCAAGATTAAGTCAAGAGTATCAAGGTGGAGTGAAATTTTTTTTTTTAATTTTGCATTTGAGAATGCAAGTAAAGATAATATAATATTTACCTATGTTTAAGGTGTGTTAATATCAATTGACAAATGCATGAAGTTATTTTGAAACATTTAATTTGTATTGAATTTCTCTCAAGATATGTTAATTGGTATTTTCATATGAGTCTATACCATCAAGGTCATCAACTAGAGTTCTTTCAACTTCAAAGGTTTTTTCAAAACTAACAGGATCTTATTAGATAAGATGACATGGAAGGCATGTTACGGGATACTTTCAACATGCATAACCAACATTTGCATAATTTGTCTCCCTAAAATAATAGACTTAATAAGTTAAATATTGAAAAAAATGATTTTGGTAAACATGGGATAGGTTTAAGCTACCAACAACCTACTCGAGAAGCATCAAAGTTTTATAAGTTACTTGAGAATATGAATGAAAAACTTTATGAGGGATCTAAGTATCCAAGGTTATCTTTTTATGTGAGTATTTTCACTTGAAATACTTATGTGGATGGACAAAAAACTCTTTGATTTTACTATTAGAGTTTATAAAAAAAATGTTTCTTTTTACAAAAATCCCTAAATCTTATAAGGATTCAAAGAAGATGTTTAAAGAGTTAGGTCTTGGCTATGAGAAAGTTTATAGTTGTCCTAATGATTGCATGTTGTTTTAAGGTAATAGAAAAAATTAATAATCTTGTAATGTGTGTGGCAATTCTTATTGGTTGGACATAAATCTCAAAAAAAGCTTAAATGAGGATGATGGTAAAGTTTATATTAAAAAGAAGCCTATGAAGGTTTTACGATATTTTCTATTAATACTGAGATTTTAATGAATCTTTATGCCTTCCAAAACTACAGATCCCATGAAATGTTATCATGACTAGTGGACAGATGATGGATAATTGAGGCATCCTATTAATTAGACACGAAAATTATTTTACTTTAGATTTTCAAACTTTGTGTATGATCCGTAAAATGTTATGCTTAAACTAGCATATGATAGATTTAATTCCATCAAAGTGATGAGTACTTCTTATAGTACTTGGTCAACTGTATTGATTCCTTATATTTGCCACCATCGATTGCCATGAAACAATAGTCATTTATCTTGTCTATGATAAATCATGGGGAGAAAGGTTCAATAAATGATATAGACATTTACATGCAACTTCTAATTGAATAGTTAAAATAGTTATGGGAATAAGGGAAGGAGTTGAGACTTATGATGTATAAAAAAAAAAAGAACTTCAATATATGTGTTCTTTATTATGGACTATCAATGATTTTTTTGCTTATGCAAATTTATTTGGTTAAAGCACTAAAGATCATTACACTTGTCCATGTTATGCTATGTTGACATGTTCAAAGTGGTTATATAATGGTTGTGAGTTCAGTTATATGGCACATCATTGATAGTTAGATAATAATCATCGATTTAAATTTCAAAAACATCCTTTTGATGGAGTTGAAGAATTGAGGAAAGCACCTTTACCAATTTTTGGGTAAAGCAATTGAAGTATATTTTTACTCAAGTTGGTGTTATTGATCCTCAAGTTGGTGGGGAGAAAAATAAAGATAATGACCCGAATTAGTCTGAGTTATGGAAAAAAAAGTATATTTTTTGAGTTACCTTATTGGAAATATAATTTATTATATCATAACCTTGATGTGATGCATATTAAGAAAATATTTGTAAAAATTTTATTTACACAATTCTCAATGTGAATAAAAGATCAAAGAAGGAGTTAAAGAATTTGCTTGACCTAGATGACATAAGGATTCACCTTGGCCTACTTTCAAAATTGCATCCTAATGGCAAATCTTGATTACCTCTTGCTTGTTTTAGGATGTCTAAAGATGAGAAAAATATGTTTTGTAAGGTGCTAAAATGGCTATGCATAGAGAGATGAGTGAATTTGAAGGAGCTAAAACTTTCTTCATTAAAGTCACATGATTACCACATCTTGATGCATGACTTACCTCCTCTTGCTTTATGTTTATCAATGTCAAAGCAAGTCACTTCATCGGTAATTGAACTTAGTAACATATTTAAAACTATCTGTAGAAAAGTTTTGAATGTGAAAAAGCTTAACAAACTTCAAGATTGAGTCACGATAACTTTATGCCATTTAGAGAAAATTTTTTGTTCAAACTTCTTCACTATTATGATGCATTTGGTTATCTATTTTCCATATGAAGCAAAAGTCAATGGATTGATTTATTGTCAATGGATGTATCATATCAAAAGGTATTATTAATAGCTTATTAACTAGTTAATGTTGATCATATCATTTTAGTTAAAAAGGTATATAACATATGTTTTATGGCTTAGATTTTTTGGGGAAGTTAAACATTTTTTCAAGACTAAAGTACTTATTGTACTTATTGAAAAGCTTTTTGATTTGGTTTAAAAATCAAATTTTTAAATTGAAAAATCATATTTTTATATTATTTAACATCCAAATTAGATAAAAGAATAATTTTTATATGCAAAAATTACTTTTAACAACAATGTCAAATTTCCGACACTTATACAAAAAAAAAAAAAAATCAAACTTTAAATCTTAATTTTTCTGGAAAGGGATAAAGTTTAATTGTCAACTTTGGAGGCTCCACAAACTGTAGCCGATATTTATTGCCATCAATTATAGCGTATTTAATTATAGTTCAAACTTAGTTTTAAATAGTCAAGCAACGAGAATGCAAAATCAAACTTGCAAATCAAGTTGCGTTTTGAAATTTTCAAAAGGCAAATTAGTTTTGTTCATTAGTTGCGAATAGCGGGGTTGCACCTGAAGGAATTATTATTTTGTTGGTTTCCTTTAAGTGGAGCAAAAAGGGGCTTGGGGGTGTGACTTTTGGCTATAAAAGAAGCCCTAAGTTTCGGCTTCAAAGACCCATGTTACACATTGTCCTTGCTGGCCTCGGAACACAAGACCTAACAAATTTACATACTTTGGGATTGCGTCGGTCCTTATTATCGAAAATGAATCGAAATTTGTTAGAAAGAGAACGGAGATCGAACATGAGAAATCTCTTTTCCAGGCTCTTTTCTCTCCTTCCTCCTCCATCGATCAGGGTACGTATACTCATCTCTCTCTTTTTTTATTATTATTGTTATTATTTTTTTGTTTCAACATGTAAAAATTATGTCATAAATTAATTTCAGCTATTCTTTTCAAGGTTCAAATATGAGTACTCCAAATTTTAAATTTTGAAATTGTAATAATTGGTGTGTTTAACGTTGCTTTAACTAGAAATGCATATGGATTTTGCATTAATATGATATTCATGGATTCTTGTAGATGTCAGTCCCTGATATGGTGGAGCAAGCCACCTTATATATAAACCACTTTCAAAGACATCTGGATGAACTCAGGCAAAGGAGGACGCAACTAGAAGAAGCTAACAAATCGACAAGGGACACGATGATAACCCCAGATCTAAATATAACAGAGTCTAATTCTATTATGGAAGTGAATCTAATTACAGGATCGGACATGAAGTTTTCATTATGTGACATTGTTAATACCATTGAGGCAGAAGGAGCTGAAGTTATAACTCTTACATACAATAATGCAGGGAACGTGAACTTCCTTACAATTCATTGCCAGGTAAATGATATTTGCGGCGCTCAAGGTTTTGGAATATTGTTATAGAGAGACTTGGGTTGTTGAAGTAGACGGTTTAGCATACATTTAACGTGCATGCATTGTATTTTTTTTGTACATAAAAAATTTACGGGAGGCAGAGAGGTTATTTTATTTCAAGATCAGCACGTAAAATTTTTATAAAGATTTATATTAGATTTATAAATTGTTTATCAACAAAAAATTACTAACAATTGATAGAAGTTGAACTTAAATTGTCTCAATGAAATGCTTGATCCTTAACAACTGAACCAATTTTAATTATTTTCTATTCCGTTAGTTTCACTACTTTTGATCATAGGTAGGGAACAACAAGTTATGTCGTCCCCAAATGTTGCTTAAATCACATTTGCAAGAATAAATGAATTCAATCATTCCTATAAACGGTTTTTGTATCTTTATTTCAGTTCTTTCTTTCCTTTTTTTTTTTTTTTTGTGTGTGTTTGCTAATATATGTGGATTTTTATTTGTCAACTTCACAGTTTAGCCCTACGAAATTACAGTGCTAGTGAACTAGCTATATTCTGTTCCTTGAATATAACTTATATCCCTTTGCAATAATTAAGACATCATTATATGTTTTTGATTCAACATCTTCGCTATATTCATCAAACATATAAATGTTTGATTTTAGTGCTAAATAATTCGCAATCTTGATTTTCTACAGGCTTCTGTCTCTTCTAGAAATGGAATTGAAAGCTCAAGACTGCTTCAGAGATTGAGGACTATGATTGAAGAATAAAGTTCCAGCCTAAGTTATAGCTGTTGGAGAATACATTAATTTTCTGCTAATTAGGAATAAAATCTGTTTGATTATCCGGGGGAAAAATTCTAGTAGTATGTTCTGTTTAAATATTGTAAAATGGGTTGTTATAACCTTTATGTGTAGCTTATTGAAAAACCAATGAAATGTTATACCTTATTCATAGCTCTTTTCTTTTCAAATGAAACGAGGATCTTTTATTATCCTCCACCGTACAGGTCCCCTTAAAAAATATATATATGAACACACGCGCGCAGATATACATATATATATATATATAAAACAATATCATTTCAAATCAATTTTTGTCTTATTTTAAGGATGCATGAACTAATATTAATTCTTTTTCTGTAAACAAAGAGTTTGGATATGGAAATAAGTTTGGTGAATTTGTTGATTTTCTTTTTTACTATTTGAGATATGTTTTTTTAATACGAGGATTCGAAACTATATATCTAGCTCTTAATTTGAGCTAGAGATATATGAACTTTATCATTGGTTGGGGCATCCAATACGTTTTTTGTTACGCATATTTCAAATATTTGAAAATAAAGGGCATACCCATATGGTGGACATGGGCTGGGTATTAGAAAATCATAACTAGAGACCAGAGTCCAAAGGCCATTATGTATAATTAAAGCATATCTTTCGTGTAAAATTGGAATAGATAATTAATGAATAATAGAAGAGGAACATAGGATTTTATTTAACGTCAAATTATGTTAGTAATAGATTATTATATTTTATGAAAATTTAAAATTTTATTATTGTATTATAATTTATATAAATTTAATTATAATGTTATTTTGATTTCATAATTTTAGTATAATCACTAATTTTATTATTATTTTTTTTGTCGTTAAAAATGCTAACTTGATTGTTAATTTTGTTGATATAACATTGACTTATTAATGTGATAATTTTGATGAATGAATAAGTTATTAAATTATGAAATGGTCCTTGCACTCACACAAAATTTTAAATTTAATCCTTATACTCATCTGAAATTTAAAATTTAGTCCCTTTAATAGTAAAAAAATATTTTGAATTTTCTAAAAATTTTTTAGTTTTTAAAAATATTAAATTTACTTTTTTATGTTTTAATATTTTTAATTTTATTTTTTGAAATTTTTTTTTATTTTTTAATATTTAGAGATTTAGAAATTTTCTAGAAATTTATAATATTTTGAATTTTTGAGAAAATTCTTAGTTTTTTAAAATATTAAAATTACTTTTTCCAATATTTCAATTTTTAAATTAAAATCATTTTTCATTTTTTTAATTTTTTAATTTTTATTTTAATATTTTATTTAATCAAAATATTTAATTTTTGTTTTTAACTTTTAGAAGTTTTATAAAATGTTGTATATATTTTAATTCCTTTTATGTTTTTTAGAATTTTTTTATATTTTTTTAATATTTAAATAAATAAATTATAAAGAATACACGGGTCTTTAGGATTTTATCTATTTTGATATATTTGAGATGAAAGAATATAAAAATCGAGGGTAAAACAAAGAAATAAAGAAACCGTATGTATTTCTTATTTCGCTTTATTTTTTATTTGAATAAGATAAAAAAAAAACATATACAATATTTTTAAAATTTATAAACTCTTTTTAAAAATATCAAATATTATAAAAATTTTCTAAAAAATATGAAAAATTTTATAAAACTTCCAAAAAATTAAAAATAATAAAATTAAATATTATGTTTAAATAAAAATGTTAAATTAAAAAAATTTCGAAAACTAAAATTAAAAATATTGAAATATTGAAAAAAATAAATTTAATATTTTTACAAAATCTAGAGAATTTATAAAAAATTTTGAGATGATGAATTTTATAATAGAGAAACTAAATTTTAAATTTCATGTATAGAAATTAAATTTCAAAATTCATGTGAGTACAATGACCATTTACAAAAATTTGACAATCGATTACATCATCTAAATTGCTATGTCAACAAAGTCATGCCACATTAACAAAGTCAGCGTCTATGTTATCAAGTTAACTTCATGTCAACATTTTTACTGGTAAAAAATTGATGAAATTAGTGATTGAACTAAGCTTATTAAATCAAAATAGTATAAAGATTAAATTTGTATGAAATACGGTATCAGAAGTAAATTCTAATTTTGATAGAGTATAAGGACTTCAACATAATTTGAACTTTATTTAATTATTGATGTATAATTTTTTGTTTACAAAAAAAAGATTTGATTTCCTTTTTCAAATAAAAATGGAATTAGTTTTAATATTTTGGTTATTGTATTTCTATCATTAAAATTTACTGTTCAAATACAAAAAAAAAAAAAAGAGCCAAGTTTGTTTCATTGCTCTAACTTGCACATGAGAAGATTATTAAAGAAAAACCACAATTCACACGAGTAAAATCCAACAATCATCCATGATATTTATATAATATTGAATTTTTATTTATAATTTTTAAAATTTAGATTTTGAATACATGGCCTTTTCAATGTTTACAAACACTACTAAAAATCTCATTAATATCGACGAATTTTTACTAGCGAAATTTTTTTATCAATAATTACTGATAGATATCGATGGATTTTTGACAGTTTATTGATAGAAATCTAAAAAAAATTAAAATTTATTTACCAGCGAAAAATAATGCATCGATATTTAGTAAGTGATGTTGGTGTGGGAAAATAGGAAATTGGCATAGGATTTACTAACGAAAAAAATGTCTGCAAACTTTTTAACAATTGATTACTGACGGATTTTTTTCTTCAGTAAAAAAATTTTAGTTTAAAAAAATAAATTGGGTACGAAATTAAATTGGAAGGAAAAATTTTTTAATTACTGTCGTAACGTATCGGTCTAAAAACTCAATCACTAGACATAAGATATTTTAAAAATCATGAAAAACATGAAAAGTCCCATCAATCTTTTTTAAGATATGATTGGTCACTCAAAAATTTTATCTTTTTAATAAAACCATAAAACTAATTTAAAGTTTTATCCAAAAGATGCATTTAGTCTACGAAAACATATTGAATTCGAGAGTCGATAACGTATGAAAAAGGATTAACACTCCCACAACGCCCATAAATTTGGTACAATTAATTATATATTATTTATAATTTTAAACAAAAATAGTTTCCTATATGAAATTTAATTATAATTCCATTTGTTTGTAAGAAATAAAATTAGTTTTTAAAAAAATTCTTTATTTAGAAATATTACAAAAATCTTCAAATTAAAGCAATACCTTCAAAGTCTCCAACATAAAGGCGAAATTCGAAGATAGCCTTTCCATTCAAAATTTACCATAACATTCCTTCTAAAAAAATAAAATAACATTCTTTATAAATGATAATTATTGATGACTCTCTATTATCTAGGTAGAGTATCAATCAATTACATTTCATAGAATGCTATTTTGATTTTATTTGTTTAAAATAAAAAATTTAAGAAAAACTTTTTATGTGATAAAAAAATATATAATAATATAATTAATATTAAACCAACGTAACTAAAACAAATATATACGTATGCATTATAAATGAAAACATATACAAAATGATGATTAAGCGTGAATTTAAAAACTCAGATTTCAAATATAATGAAACCACCCAGACTCCCCAACATTTAGGCGGAGCTTGGGTATGAATTTTTATATTTGGAAATCTTGTCTTATTATTAGTATTATTGGTTAATTTGACAAATTTATTTCGAGTTGCGAAAATGTATAAAAATTCTTTAATGAAGTAAAATTTCTTAAATACCCCAACATTTAAGCAACATTCGAGAACAGATTATTTCATAAAAGGTTTTTATGCAAATCCTTAAAAATTTAAAACTATTAAGAAAACTTTTATATGGTAAAAAAAATGAAAATACAATCATATAATCAATATTAAAACAATCATAACTAAACAAGCATATATGTATGCATTATGAATGAAAAACATTAACGTAAGACGAAACATATGCAAAAATGATAATTTAGTGAGAATTAAAAAATTGAGATTTCAAATATAAAAAAAAATCATCTAGATTTTTCAACGTCTAGGCAGAGTTTGGATACAAATGTTTATGTTTAAAAATTTCGTTCAATTATTAGTATTATTGTATTTTTATAACCAAGATTTTAACAAATCGAATTTATTTTCAAGCCATGAAAATATATGAAAATCTTTAATGAAATCAAATTTTCTAAATACTTTAACGTCTAGGCGATATTCGAGAATAAATTAATTCATGAAAAGTTTTCATACAAATTTTTATAAATTTAAAATGAGTTTAGAGTTTTAGGTAGGTTTAAGTTTAAATTTTAAGAATTTACGAGCCTTTTTAAAAATTTCTAATATGTAAGCAAACTTTAGAAACAGACTCATTTTTATAATTCTAAAAAATAGATTTTTATGTACTTATGTATTTTATATATATATATATATATTTCTTACTTACTTACTTTAAACTTATTATTATTATTATTATTATTATTATTATTATTGTTGTTGTTATTGTTGTTGTTATTGTTGTTGTTGTTGTTACTAGCATAGATAAAATATATCGAACATAAATTTAGATATGAAAAATTAAATTAAAACAAATATGAGAATCCAAATGATAAAGAAATCAATAATTCATAAAATTAAGCTTATAATTAAATTTAAACAATTATAAATAAATTGCATGGGTATACTTAATATTAAACACATATAAAAATAAATTTTATTGAAAACAAACTTTAAGTTTTATATTTTTATAAAATTTTATTTTTTATAATATTCTAATTAAAGAAGAAACATATACATTATTCATGTGAAGATAAAAATACATATATAAACCCCACTGGCCTTTTTCATGGGCCCCACGTTTTAGACTTTTATGAATGTTTAAACAAATATTTATGCGCCGCAAAATTCTACCCACAGAAAGATGATCAGGATGTATTTCTTTTCAGACAAATCAAAGAAAACCAAGGCTACGGTCCCCGCGTTGGTTTTCATGCATGCTTATTCTCTTTTTTTTTTTTTTTTGAACTATCACTCTCCCATTCTAGCTCAAGCCAAAGTAAGTCAAACTCGCACTCATGGTCCCCACGTCATGTGTCACGGACTAAGCTTTCTCTCAACAAGCACTAGCCCGTGTGGCACTTGAATGGACGCTTCC